GTGTGTGTGTGTGTGTTTGATGTTGCTCGGTTGTGTTTAAAAGTATAGGGGAGAGGGCCATTAGCTAAAGGAAGTGTCATGAAACTTCCTCCGCTTTCAATAAAATAACTACCTTAGCCACCCACTTTTGTTCTACAGATCCTGCACAAATTACAAAACTGTATCTTGCAGAGCATAAGCACAGGCTGCTCTGAACTAAATACAGACTGTCCATTCCGGGAGCTTTAAAAGAAACTAATTTTCTGTCTGCTCTTGGGGTCTCATTGACTGAGTCTGGCACTGAGCAAACAGGAAAGGTTTTAAAGGGATATTTTACCTTGGTAAAAGTTTCCCATATTGATGTCAGACATTTGTAGGTCTGCACGCTAAAAGTCGATGATTCGAATCATCGGTCACGACTCCCGAGTCAAATCTCAGTTTGGAGAGAGGACTGAGGCATTTTTTTACAGCCACTAAATCAATCAGTGAGCACCGGATTCAGCTGCACGCTGCTGGAAGATGTGAAAAGAATTCCTTTTCTCCTTGAGAATCAGTGTCTGAGTCGAAGTGTCTGACTTTTTTTCATTTCGCTGTGTCATTGTCTGAAAAAAAGCAGGATGAATACCTAGGCATGCTGTAATGATTCAAAGCTAGACTACTGTGCGGGATAGGAATAACACTTAAATTGTAGAAAACTGTAAATCGGATTCATTTTGGAAATTTCTGAGTCAGATTGAGCCTCAGTCATTTAGTACTGTTTAATAAAGTGCTATATCATTCCGTCAGAAGAGTGAAGTTATTCCTTGTGCACCCTCTGTTAATGAGAAACATAATCACTGTGAAACATAATTGCTTTATCTTTATCCTCCTCTAGCCAACCTCTACTAATTACTATACTACGTTTTCCTTTTACAAGTTGAATTGAAAACTTAAAGTAACATATGTGGAGCTTTTTTTATTACACTGTTCAAAGGGAAGATTTTATTTTTTCTATGAATTGGAAGCCAGGAAGAGAGGTGGGAGGGAGAGGCACACTGGCTTAAATCATAAAGCAACAGGGTGGGACGTAGTGAGAAAATATCTATGTCCCCTGTGAAATTATATGTGTGTGTGAATCATTCATATATATGAATATATATATATATATATATATATATATATATATGTATAATGATGTGTGTGTGTGTGTGTGTGTGTGTGT